GAAAGTCAGAGATAAGATGTCTGGCATGTGGAAGGCACTCAATAAAATGTAGACTAGATGGATGAGCCTTGATGCTCAGCAAGGGAGGTGCACAGTGTAGATATTGAGGAGAAACCACACTATCCATTAGAAAAGTAATTGTACTAGTTTCATCCCGAGATGACTAGGGTCTAATAAGCAGTGTTAATTAAGAGATAGGGAATGATAACTGAGATATTTCAGAGGCAGAATGGACAGGACGTGGAGCTTATTGAGATGGGGGAATTGAGAGAAAAGGCACAATGGGATAAATTCCAGGTTTTTGCCTTAAGGGACTAGTGGATTGTGTTTCCATTCAATAAATAGGGACTGTAGGAGGCTGGCTGTTTTTGGGTGGACATGGAATATTCTGGAGGTGATGTTAGGTTGCAGTTAGATATTCTGGACTTAACTCAAGAAAGAGCCCTGATGTGGAACTGTAGATATTGGGAACTCAACAGAACAAGCGGTTAGAACTGTGGCTATGACAGGATTGCCCAGGTAAGTCCATGGTAGGTGCTCAAAACTGTTGAATGAAAGTGAGAGGAACAACCCAACAGGAGGGTGATGTGAAGGCCTTCGTGGAAGGACTGACTGCTTTTAGGTTCTTGTGAAAGAGGACGGAACTCCCCTCAGAAGTGTGTTTCGTCAGTCTGCCTGTTCTGTTCCCCACTCTGTCTGTGGTGAATCCTCTCACCCTCCTGCGCTTCTGACTGCACCCAGTGCTTGTATAAACAAACAAGCAAACAAACAAACAAACAAATAAATAAATCTTTTTAAAAAAGTGAACACTTAAGATGGGTATGTGTTATTGTATATAATTATACCTCAGTGTTTAAAAGTGTCATTTACATTAAGACTTTCAGGAAGATGAGAGAGGTGGGAATAAGTGGAGGGGAAGCTGGAGAGTTAGGTGCACTCTTGATGAATGTGCAGGAGATTGGACAATGGCAGGAAGGAGAGAACAAAGGTGACAGGAGCCAGTGCTATAAACCTCAGAGAAGTTGTGGTCAGAGACTGAAAGTATAACCTGGCAACCATTAATTAGTTGAAAAGCATTTATAAGGATTTGGCTGGAGGAGTCACCCACATCTCACCTGCCAACACTTAGAGGAAATGGATCATCTGTGCTGGGATTCCAGTGTCCTCCTGGGTTTTCACCTCTTTTCCTGCTCGGAGCTCTGAGTGGGAGTTCTTAGGCCCTGACCTCCTTTCAGGATGTTAAAGAAGTCAGACCATATTGTGAATATATGCACTTTACAACTTTTCTATTCATTGCATTTCTTCTTGAGTCTCTAGTCAAAGTTTCTTTTTTTTTTTCTTTCTTTCTTTTTGAGTAGAAGAACTAGGGTGTAGGCCAGAGGTGCGGGGGATGAGAGGATTCAGCAGAGACAGAGTGGGGAGCAGAACAGGCAGATTTTACTGATATATGCTGCTAAGGGTAGCAGGAGGCGAGATACGAGAGGTTTCCTGTGCCATATGTGGGTCAGCTCCCTGTCTGGGAAACTGCCAGGTGATAGTGTTGAGACCTAACCCCTAAGCCACCAGGGAGGCCCCCTGGTCAAAGTTTCTTTTGAAAAATTGGTCTCCCTGGTGACGCAGGGGTTAAAATCTCAGCACTATAAAGCTATAGCCAGCCACTGCTGGCCATCTCTGGGCAGGGAGCTAACCCACATGGCCCAACAGACCTCTCCTGTCTCGCCTCCTACTCCCCTCAGCAGTGTATTTCAGTAGATCTGCTTGTTCTGCTCCCCGTTCTGTCTCTAGTGGATCCTGTCACACCCTGCACCTCTGGCCTACACTCCAGTTCTTGTATGCATAAATAAATGAATCTTTAAGGAAAAAAAATTCCATCCTTGTGTCCACTGAACTGGTTAGCACAGCAGTCCTGGTTCTGAGGGTTAAAGTTCTCTATAGGGTCTTGGATTTTTTTTAAAGAAATTCATACCAGTTATTCTAGATGGACTTAAAAACCAAATCCTGATACTGTCTTCAGAAGTCACATTTTTGGATACTGGAAATCTTAGAGTATAGAAAAAAGATGGTGTGAGCAAGACACCTTGAGTTCAGGTGCGGTTATAAAATTGGTCATCGGCACCCAGGTCTGGGAAGGAGCTGGGGGTTGACAGGCACTGAGCCTCCAATCCAGTGGAGCCACATTGACAGATAAAACTCCCATTTTACAGATGTGTGAGCAGTGGAACCAGGACTCCACTTTCAGGCTGACTGAACCTCTAAACTGCATTGCCTTGGGACCAGGAGCATTATTACGTGATTGAGTGCGCATTGTGAAGTGTGGAGTAGCCCATGCCAACCCCCACCTCCCCAAACCATGGGACTTCTTGTGAGTATGAGACAGTTTTCCCCACATTAACTCTCTGGGGTGGGAGTGGGGTGCTGATTGGATGAGGCAAGATAAAGGACAGGACAGTGCTGTGCTCGCTTCGGCAGCACATATACTAAAATTGGAAAGATACAGAGAAGATTAGCATGGCCCCTATGAAAGGATGACAGCAAATTCATGAAGCATTCCATATTTTTAAAGAAAGTCAAGGAAAAGATAAACACCTAGGATTACATCAAACTGAAATGCCCTATACAGCAAAAGAGACATTAAACAAAGCAAAGAGACACCCCACTGGCTGGGAAAAAATCTTTACACTCCATACAACTGATAAGGGACTGATCATGAAGATATACAAAGAACTCACAGGACTCAACAAAAACAAAGTAAACAATCCAGTCAAGAAATGGGCAGAAGAACTTAAAAGACATTTCTCCAAAGAGGAAATGCAAATGGCCAACAGGAATATGAAAAAATGTTCAACATCCTTTATAATCAGGGAAATGCAAATCAAAACCACACTGAGATACCATCTTATATCAGTAAGAATGGCACATATTAAAAAAATGAGCAGCAACAAATTTGGCGAGGATGTGGTGAAAAAGGAACTCTCCTACATTGCTGGTGGGAGTGCAAACTGGTCCAACCACTACGGAAAGCTGTGTGGAGGTTCCTCAGTCTACTAAAAATGGAGCCACCATATGACCCAGCAATTCCACTCTGAGGGATCTACCCAAAGGACACAAAAACATTGATTCAAAAGAACACCTGTACCCCTGTGTTTATTGCAGCACTATTTACAATAAGTAAAACCTGGTATAGCAGCAGGAAGGGACAGAGAAGGATATCTATGATTGGAGCAGATCGGTAAAGGAAAGTCCAGGAGCCCTCCGTGGCTTTCTCAGGCTTTTACTGAGCTTTTACATGTAGTGCAGCAACCAGGTACACAGCAGGCAGGGGTGTGTGGGTGGGGGGCAGGAGGCTGGTAGGCCTCTCAGCCCCTGGGGAATCTTCACCCAGCTCTCTGGCATTCTCTCTCCTTTTCTCCCTGCTGTTCTCTCTCCTCTTGGCGATTAAATCAATACTGCAGCCATAGCCCACAGAAGTAAACACACAACTTAAAACAATGAAACAAATGCAGGTGCCTGCCATCAGGCATGCAATCCTAATGGGGGGAGGGGAGTACAGAAAAGCCTGAAAATCATTCACCCTACACCTGGAAACAATCCAAATCTCCAAAAATAGATGACTGGATCAAGAAGATGTGGTACATATACACAGTGGAATATTACTCAGCAATCAAAAAAGATAAACTCATGCCATTCTCAGCAATGTAGATGGAGCTAGAAGGCATTATGCTCAGTGAAATAAGCCAGAAAGAAAAAGAAAAATATTGGATGGTTTCACTTACAGCAGTGTACGGTAAATGATTTTCAGACTTTTCTACCCTCCTGCCATTAGCATTGCATGCCTGATGGCAGGCACCTGCATTTTATTATATTTAGTTGTATTGTTTACTTCTGTGGGCCATGGCTGCAGTATTGATATATTCACCAAGAGAGGGAGAGAGAAGGAGAGAGAAGAAGAGAAAGAACACCAGAGAGCCCAGAGTGAAGACTTGCTGGGGGCTTGGAGGCCTTCCAGCCTCCTGCAGCACACTGCTCCCCACCCCCAAACCCCCACCCCCACCCCCTGCACCCCTGCCTGCTGTGTACGCGTGGTTGCTGCACTACCATGTAAAAAAAAAAGCTCAATAAAAGCCTGAGAAAGCCACCAAAGTCTCCAGAACTCTCCTTTACTGGTCTAGTCTGCTCGGATCATAGATGAACCAGCTGTGTGCATTCCTGCCACTACAGGCAGGCATCTTGGGGAACCAACTAAGACATCAGTGTAAAAAAATAATAACAGTACAAAACACAACAAAGCAAAAACAGACAATTATAAACCAGAGACATCCTGCAGGGGAGGAGGAGGGAGAGTGATCAGAGGGATAGAGAGAGGGGCACAGGGGACTGAGATGATGGTTCACGGTGCACTGGTGAAGGAAATTCTATGGGGACTACACCTGAGGGGAGGAGAGCAAATATTGTTTAAAAATGAACAAAGATGCAAAAAAAAAAAAAGAGAGAACAAGGCACATGCTGGAATTAACCCCTCCTTACGCGCTATTGCCGCCAGGGGGCAGCACTCGTCCTGCCACGGGGCCTCCATCCACAGCCTCCAGCGAGGTGGCGGTGAACAGCTGAATCAGTCTTTCCAAGGTTGTGTGGCAAGTGTGGTTGTCTACGTGGTTCAGAGAGGCTAGATAGTTGGTTCAAGATTATATAACTAGTTTGTGGGGGAGTTACCACTTGAAACCAACCTGTTTCCAAGCAGGTATTCTTAACCGCTTCTCCAAAACAAAAGTTCAAACCCTTGCTGCGAAGGCTGAGACCTGCACAATCCAGTATTGAGCAAGAGCAGGAAACACAACACAAAGGAAAAAGTAAGGGTTAATATAAAAGGGGCCAGAAAGAGTGTGAGGCGGGCTGCACATTTCGCCCAGCATGTTCCACTACTCCTTTTTTGTGCTCTGTTGTGTCCTGTGGGCGTGTGATACATGTAGAGTGGGGTTCTGATCCCCCTTAACATTGGTGCTATGCGTGATGCCACGCAGCGCCTTTCCTTTGTGCCGGTAAAGATACATGTCATGGAATGGGTACCCTGTGGTTTTTCTGTAATTGTTAAATAGTGAATGACATAATAAACAAGTGGATTTACTAGTGGGTGAGAAGTGAGTGCAGAATGTCCCATGGAAACAGACCTCTTTCAGCAGTGTATTTTTTTCATGGAGATATAATATGAATGAGTTCAAACTTCGCCATCAACTGTCCTCACTGTGCTACCACCCCAGTCAGTGGGTCGCCCCACAGCCCTGGCCACCCCAGCAGTCTGCTCACTTCTCCCAGTTCTCTCATTTATAGAATTTTATAGTTGCCCTTAAGGAGGGCTGGACTGGGAAAGAAAAAGAAAAATACTGGATGGTTTCACTTATAGGAGCAAAGTAGAGGATCCAAATAAGGGATGGGGTGGGGGAAATAATTATAGGAAAATGAAAATGAAAATCAACAGGCAACTGTAAACCAGAGACATTCTGCAGGGGGAGAAGGGAGTAGGATCAAAGCAAGGGTGGGAAGAGCACAAGGGACTATGGTGAGGGTACGTGGGTGAATGGGGGGTGGGAATTGCACGGGGACTATAACCAGAGATGAGAAAGCATACATTGTACAAAATTGAAGAACGATGTAAAAAATAAAAAGTTGATGGGAAAAAAAAAAAAGGAGGGCTGCACTGAAGGGAAGGAAACGTGGAAGGGGTAGGGCTGGGCACTGTCAGTCAACGGGAGGGCGCAGGGCCGGGGAAGTAGGTCAGCTCTGGGCCCACCAGGGCTCCTCGTGGTTTATTCTGGGTAGAGCTGATCTTCTTGAACTTCAGAACCACATCCTGGTCTGATCCTGTCACCCTCTCCCTTGGTTACCAGCCATCTAAGCTCCATCCTTGCCTTTAGACACAGACAACCTGTGCAGCCACTGCCCCCATCTCCTAGCAATCCACACCTTGCCCTCTGCAGCATCCTTTCTCCTCAGGGCTCATAATTTGATGCCCGAGGTCCCTGGCACTTGAGGTGCTTGACAAATGATGAGTGTGTCCTGTGTCATGGGAAGCTCCCCACCCCCATCTGGTGACCTGAGGCCTGCCCACAAGTGTGGGTTGTTCTTCTTCCACCCAGAGCTTGCTGCTCAGGCCCAGTCTCCCACTGTGACACCCTCCCACATGACCAGGATGCTGTTGCTCGTCTTCATCACCCTCTGTTCCAGGTGACACGGCTTTCTCCCAGGGCCCTGAAGGGTGTGAGCTGGGAGGAGGGACATCCCATGAATGTCCCAGGGAACCAGCGTGGTGGGGACTGAACATTGAGCCCTGGGTGAGTGTCAAGGACAGGAGAGTGGGAGCGGGCAGAACCCCCCATAAAACTGACACCGAGTGGACTCCCCCAGTTCACAGTTCTCTGTGTGCCTTGGTGTTGTCTGCTCTACTGGGAAGGTCACTCTTCAGCTTCCAGAAAAGAATTCTTCTGCTACCTTCCAAGTAAGATAAAATTGAAGGAACCAGTGAAAATGACTTGAAGTAAGGAAAGGCTTGAAGGGAGGTGTCAATTATTTTTAAGGGGTCAGTTTTAATTTGATGAGTTTAATAAGCCTATTTAAAAAAGCTTATTATCTCGAGTCTAAATATAATTAGGAGCATGGGAGAACTAATTAAAACTCAGATAAGTTTTTTTGAGAAACTGATTTTAATTAAATGAAATGCCTTAACTCTCAGACATGTTCATTAACTAAATACCATGTGGACTCCAGACCAGAAGATTTAATATCAGTTTTAGCATTACCAGGGTATACATTCTCAGGCCCCACTCCAATCCACTGAATAAAAAAAAAACAAAACCACTGGGGGTGAGGCCCAGGAATCTCTCTTTTTTTTTTTTTTTTAAAAGATTTTATTTATACAAGCACTGGGTACAGTCAGAAGCGCGGGAGGGTGAGAGAATTCACCAGAGCCAGAGCAGGGAGCAGAACAGGCAGAAGGACCGAAGTACACTGCTGAGAGGAGCTGCAGGTGGCAGGAGAGGTCTGCTTGCCATGTGGGACCCACGCCCGGTGGCCGGGGATGGAACCAGCGCTGCAGAGGCTGCGGGCAGCTTCGCAACCCAGCGCTCAACTGCTGCGCCACCGGGGAGGCCCCCAGGAATCTGTTTTAACCAACACTTGCAGGTGATTCCTATTTGATGTATTCAAATTTGAGAACCACTGAAATAGAAGAGTGACCTGTAAATGTCAATAACTGTGGAACTGAATTAGAGGCTTTGACAATTGGCTTAATTTATCAATTTGGATAAGTTAAATCAATGACAGCCCTGTCTTCATTTGAATTATAATTATTAATACACTAACAAAAAACTAAAATCGGGCCTCCCCTGGTGGCGCAGGTGGTTGAGCGCAGTGCTGTGAAACTGTCTGCAGCCTCTGCAGTGCTGGTTCGATCCCAGCAGGCCTGCTGGTGAGGGTCCCACATGGCGCGGCAGACCTCTCCTGTCGTGCCCACTGCTCCCCTCAGCAGTGTATTTCGTCAGTCTGCCTGTTCTGTTCCCTGCTCTGTGTTTGGTGAATCTTCTCACCCTCCTGCGCATCTGGCCTGTACCCCAGTTCTTGTATAAATAAAAAATAAATCTTAAAAAAAAAAACCCACCAAAATGACAAGGGTATACTTATACTACAGAATGCCATTAGTTCTAAAATAATATATGGAACAGGGCCTCCCTGGTGGTGCAGCGGTTGAGAGCTGGGTTGTGAAGCTGCCCGCAGCCTCTGAAGCGCCAGTTCGATCCCCGGCTGCTCCCCGGCCACCGGAGGAGTGTCCCACATGGCGCGCAGACCTCTCCTGCCGCCCGCTGCTCCTCTCAGCAGTGTACTTCGGTCCTTCTGCCTGCTCCGCTCCCCGCTCTGGCTCTGGTGAATTCTCTCACCCTCCCGCGCTTCTGACTGTACCCAGTGCTTGTACAAATAATAAATAAATAAATAAATAAACAAACAAGCAAACAAATAAATAAATAATAAAAAATAAAAATAAATCTTTAAAAAAAGTTTAAAAAATATATGGAATATTGTGATTAATAACATCAGTTACTAGACCTCCCTGGTGGCACAAGGGGTTAAGCACTGCACTATGAAGCAATCCACAGGCTCTGCAGCATGAATTTGATCCCCGACCAGCCAGGGAGCTACCCACATGGTGCGGCAGACCTCTCCTGTCTTGCCTGCTGCTCCCCTCAGCAGTGTATTTCAGTCAATCTGCCTGTTCTGTTCCCCACTCTGTCTCTGGTGGATCCTCTCACCCTCCCCCCCATACCTCTGGCCTGTACCTCAGCTCATATATGTTTAAATAAATAAATCTTTAAAAAAATAATCAGTTACTTTGGCAGCCACATTCATGAGTAAGCTTCAATTTCATTGGTGGGTTAAACTTCAGCAAGATGGAATACTAGAGCTTGAGCACAGCAGCTACAGAATCACAGCAGGGTTAAGGGATGGTATAGGAAAGAATTTGAAAAACTGTTTAATAAAAAATGTTAAGAAATTAGGTTGGGGTCCTCCTTGGTGGCCTAGGGGTTCAGTCTCAGCACTATCACCACTATGGCTTGAATTCCCCAACCAGGGAGCTACCCTCATGGTGCAGCGGACCTCTCCTGTCCTTCCCGCTGCTCCCCTCAGCAGTGTATTTCAGTAGATCTGCCTATTCCGCTCCCCACTCTGTCTCTGGTGCATCCTCTCATGCCCCACACCTCTGGCCTATACTCCCCAGTTCCATGCAAAAAGAAAGAAAGAAAGAAAGAAAGAAATTAGGTTGGTAAGAAAAGGGGTTTAATGAGGTTTAATGAAGGATCCAAAGTGCTTGTTCCTCTGGGTCCTGTGAGGGTGGAGGGACAACTGGGATATTCTCCTGCAAGCTCCCTTGCCTTTCTCTTTGGGGGTGTTTCTCTGGGACTTCTCTCTGCTTCCAGGGTCCTGTGTTTTCTGGGTGTCCCAGCCCCTGAGGTTCGTACCCAGGAGGGTGCCACTTCCTTCCGGCCCTGCCTTCAGTGCCAGCCAAGGTGGCTGTGGTTCTGTCACGTGGTAGCAGGACAAGGTGGTCCCAGGGAAGGAGGTACAGAATGGGACATCAGAGTTCCGGGGCCGCTTGGCTCCTCTGGCCTCTTGCCGCTTCCTGCATGACCACAGGCTGAGCCACACATCTGGGACCCAGAGTCAGTGAAGCTGGAGTGTATCGTGCAGGGCAGAGGTACTGGATCTGGATCTGGTTTTCAAAACAGGAACTGGGACAGCTGGTGGTGGAGAAAGGCAAGGCTCCTGGAGACTTCCCTAGAAGTAAAGCGCCCCTCCCTGTGACCTGCTCCCCTCCGTTCCTCCTTGTGCTTGGTGAGCATCTCCCCCGGCCCTTTACCAACTCCTTCCTCTCCACTGCAGGACCCCTAGGCTAGCAGCCAGCACAGTCCTCCTCCTGTGGGAGACCTTCTGTGCCTTCCGCTTTCTCTCTGTGGCCTTGGGCAGCGCCATTTATTACCAGGGCAAAGGTGAGTAATGGAGGCAGGGCAAGGCCGGGGAGGGGCATGGATGTGAAAGGTGGGAATAGGGAGCTGGAGGAGGGGGACAGGGATCCGGAAGAGAAGAAGGACTCTTGTTTGTCCAACAGGCCGCTGTCATGGGTATACCTTGGGTGGCTTCTGGTAAGCCATTCTCAGCCCCAGTGAGCCCATTCTTTTCAAGATTCCCCGATAAAACCCTCTGTTCCCCACCACTCAGACTTTTTTATGAATCTGTGTGTTTCCTTCTCTAATTTCCAGATGCCCCGATGTGCTTCTCCCTGGGTTCTCCCAACGCAACTCTCCGTATCAGTTCTGACCTGGCAAGGCCCAGGGAGGGCACTTCCTAAAGTGGTGCCTGGACCCCATTTTATGACCCTCGAACCTCATGGGCCTCCACCCACCCACCCACCCTTCTAGGCTCAGAAGGCTCACACTGCTTCTCCTGAGAGGTGGGCTACAGAAGACCTGACCAGTCCTGCTTGTCAAAGCCCACACATGAAAATGCCCTTTTCAGGCCTTCAGGGGAACTCCGGTCCCTAATCACCCTTCTTCACTTAACAAATCACAACTTGAGCCAGAGTGGGTGGGAAGACGAGTGGTTTCAGTTTTGTTGGTGGCCATGTTGGTGGGGCTGGAGATGAGCCGAGAGGCCTGAGATACAGAAGGTGGCAAGACAACTCTTTTCACTGGATGAACCCCAGGACACGCTGACCACTGACCTGGGCTGAGGGAGGCGATTCAGGGTGGTCAGGTGGGTTTGTTATTGGCAACGCAAGCATAGTCGGCGGCGGCACTTGCGTCCTCCTTGGAGCCTTGCCTTTCACTGCTGGGCAGCCTCTGCAGAGATGCGTAGTGGAGCTCCTGCTCCGAGGAGAGCTGGGCCTGGAGCCAGGACAGGAAGTGGCCAGGTTACCGGGGGAGGCCTCCTCCCTCTGATCCTACCCAGGAAGTTTTTGCCCCGGCCCATACTCTTACCTCACTGCCAACTCATTTTGCCCGGCTTGGCTTTCTTCACTACCCTCTCATCTTTCCTCCCCTCCCCTGCCTCCTTTCTCTTCCTGCTCCGCTTCCTCTTCCTCTTCCCTTCTCTCCCCTGGCCCAGGTTCTTTTCTCTTCTCTCACTGTCCTTCCTTTGTATGGCTCTCTCGCTTTCTCCCGCCCCCCCCTTTCTATTCTCTCTCTCTTGGCCTCTCTCTTGGTTTCTCTCTCATTTTCCCCTGTGTCTGTCATTCTCTGACATTCTTATTCTTCCGGCTCTGTCGCTCTCACTTCCTCCTCTTTCCCGTTTCTAATTTCCTCTTTCTAGCTCTACACCTATTCTTTCCTCTCTTCTCACTCTTATTTGACTCTTCTGCCTCTCATTTTCTCTGACTCTCTCATGTCCTCTTTTCTGTCTCTTTTCTTGCTCCCCCATCTCAGCTCTCAACCTCCTCTTGTCACCCCATCACCCCTGCCCTTCTCCCAGACTCACCCAGTTCCTCTCCAGCCTTCTCACTGGAAGAAAAGCAGCAGCTTAGCATGGTCCTCCTCACGGGCTCCTCCAGCCCCAAGGAGTGCTCCCCACCCACAAGAGCGTTTCTTTTCACCTGGTGAATTCCCTGTGGTGCCCATGGTCAGAGCCCCGACCTCCGCCTCTGTGGACATTCTCCCCTCCCCTCTCCCACCTGACTTCTACCACCTTCCTCACCCTGGGCATGGGATTGATGGGGACTTCTGGGAGAGGGCATGGGTGGGGGCAACACAGGGCACTGCTGTGGTGAATGAGGGAGGTTCAAGTGGGGCTCACCTCTCCGATGGAGCCGACACAGAGAGATGGACAGAATGACCGTGACCAAGAACAGGAGTCCTCCCAGTCCCAGTCCCAAGATCTTATAAAGCAGGCTGTAGGGAAAAGCAGTCAGTCATAGAGGGCCCACTTCCCTCTCCATGTACCCCCTGCTCCTGAGTGGCATGCGTATCTTGGCTCCCTTTTCCAACAGTTTGAAGCAAAAAGACATATTTTCAGAAAGTCTTTATCCCAGACCATGTGACCTCACCTCCTGAGGTGAGGCGTTGAGGTCACCACCTCACCACCTTCATTGGCTACCTCACTCATACCACGCACCCCTCAGGAGTTTCCCGCACCATCTCTGACGCCTCTCGGTCTCCTGTGGCGTGCCTTGCCCACCTGTACCAGCTGAGAGGCCTGGACCACTTTCCATACCACAAAGCCCACACCACTTTTCCACCCACTGCTCCTGGGGCACCCACAACCCTCCCTGTGCAGGAGGTTACCTCTTCTCCATGTCTCACACACTGCCAGAAGACTGTTAGGAACAGAAGACTGACCTGCGGGTCAGGAAGCCTCACCTCTGTTCTACCAGGCTAAACGGCCTGGGACCGTCACGTGTCCCAAGTTCCTCATCTATAAAGTATGGGGCCCCCGTTACAATTGGTTCCAGGCTGGGGAGCATCACCTATGTGCCAATCCTCAGCTGGACACTTTCCATGCATTGCTACAAGTTCCCGCACCAACCGAAGGTTACCTCATCTCCTAGCCGAGACTGGAACCCAGAACAACAAAGACATCTAGGTCAGAAGTGGCAGTGCTGGGAATCCAGGTCACCTCTGTCCATTCTTAGCACACTCCCCTTCCCTCTGCCCTAGGCTGACCAGGTTCATAGGGGCCTTTCCAGCAGTAGGTCTTTCTAGGTTGTGGTGAAGGGGCTGATGGAGGAGGAAGAGCAGCCAAGGTCTGGAGAGTGCGGGAACAGGTGGAAAATAGGGAGGGTGCTGTCCATGGCTACCTGGACTCCCTCAGCCCCAGAACTAGTTGAAAGAGTGAGAGCCTGGGTAACTGCTTGTGGAGAGCTGCTGTCCACAAATACTGCTGGGGGGCCTTCCTGGTAGTGCAAGGGGTTAAGACGCAACCTGTGAAGCTATCCGCAGCCACTGCAGCGAGGAGTTCGATCCTTGGCCGGGGAGCTACCCATGTGGCACAGCAGACCTCTCCTGACTTGTCCGCTGCTCCCGTCAGCAGTGTATTTCAGTCAGTCTGCCTGTTCTGTTCCCCACTCTGTCTCTGGTGAATCCTCTCACCCCCACACCTCTCTGGCTTGTGCCCCAGTTCTTGTATGCAGAAATAAATAAATCTTTAAAAAAAAACAAACACCAATACTGCTGGGGCTGAAATGGGGGTGTGGAAGAGTATCTCAGGGTGCTTAACTTCCCCTTAGGCACTTCCTGCTCTACAACCACTGGTTCCTGTTTGAGGGCCAAGAGCAAGCTTAAGACTTCACCCCTAACCTAGATGCACTGACCAGGGTCTAGAAACAGACTTTCCTGGGTTTAGGAGAACTGGGGTTTGTGTGGGGGTGTTGGGGGGGAGGGGTCAGAAACATTGGAGGAGAGCATGGCCTGAGGTGGCCATTAGGGGCAGTGGTGCAGATCTGAATTGGTTTTCATTTCTTGGTGAGCAGAGACAGAGGCTGGACAGAGGGTTCCTCCAGGGAGCCTCAGAAACATCCTCTCCCTTCCCTTGTCATAGCCTCACTTTACTCTGGGGTGGGTGTCATCACCCCTTCCCTGGTGCCCCACCAGAGTTCCTGCTCTCTCCTGGCTCACCCAGTGTCGGTGGCCTGCAGGGCTCCTACTGAGCTGAAATGCTGGAGGGGGAGAAAGTTAGGCTTTGAGGGTTCTGGTAACAACGACTTTCCTATGACTTGGTAGCCATTTGTCTTGGAGAGTAAGTCTCTCTGAACCTGTTTCCAAGTGGGCAAATCAGATTCCTGACTTGCTAGGATGAAAATTGAATGAAACCAAGATTTAAAAATACAGAACACAATGCCTGGCCCAAAGCAGATGTGTAAACGACTTCAGTTCATTCTGGAAATTTTTATATTGTCTATTATGGAGCAGGCAATGTTCTAGATGCTGAAAATACAGTCATAAACAAGATAGTCTCTACTCTCCTATTCTTAAATTTTAATTCTATGAAAAATAAACACTTGGGCTGAAATGAAATCGACCTTTTCAAATGAATTGCCACTTTTCCCATCTGGAAGTAGACTGCTGGAATTATACCTTGGCTTGTAAATTGCACTCCCTCTCCCGACTCTAGCCATCCTATTGCTCCTGCAACTAGTCAACTAGTCAGTAAATAGAATATTCACCTCCTCTGTGTGCTTTCCCTGATTAACATTTTCCCAATTATTCCTCACAATGCATCCACTGAGAGCCATGATCCTGGTGTGTGTATGTAGACACACACCCTGGCTCCCATATCAGACTGGGAGCTCTGTTGCATTGGGGGCAACTCACCTGCTGTTCTGGGGTTGTATCTAGTAGGGTGCTTGGTGGATTAACAAACAGGAACGATTAACAAACAGAAAAGTCAGGGGCAGCCAGACTAGATCTATAGGAGCACTGCTGGTAGATCTAGGACAGAAAGTTGATGATAAACTGATGCTGGGAAAGGACGTGTGGGCAACCCAGGCAGACTTCCTGCAGGAAGCAGCATTTTCACGTTGCACACAAAAGTAAGTTAGGGCAATGGCCCAAGACCCTCTGGACAGAGACTTAAAGACATCATAGTGGCACTGTGATGTAGAAGGCAGTGGGTGTTACAGGATTGCACATGTAGACCTTGAGGAGAATAAAGACTGGGGACCTCATGTGAAGGAGAGAGGTGAGTTGGAGATCTGATGCCTGAGTCTACCTGCATTTGCATTTCTTTCTTCAGGTTTAGGAACGTTCTGCTACTTTGTCCCTCTTCCTCTACTCACTAAGTCCCATATACAGTAGAGTAAGTCAATATTCAGGATTTTTTTTTAAACTTTTATTGTAAAAAAAATCAAACACAGAAAAAATGAAATAATTGTACCGTGAATGTATTCCTACCATATTTTCTATATTTGTTTTATTATATGTCTATTAATCCATCTCATTTTTTGGATACCTTTCCAAGCTGCAAAATCAGTAGATGTTGCCTCTAAACACTTGACCATGCTTATCATTGACTCAGGGTTAGTACTTATTTCCCCATTTCTTTTTTTGGGGGGACCTGAGGAAGGCAACATTTACATACAGTGAAATGCACAAATCTAAAGAGAGTACTCAATTTTTAAACTGTCTTGTGGTTAGGACTCAGGAGCCAGACATCCTGGGTTCAAATCCTGGCCTGTCTCTGTGCTCAACTGCCATTTAGAGTTTTTGTCAGGATTGAACTAGTTATCTATGAAGTGTGTAGATCACTGGTAGACACATGCTAACTGCTATTTGTGTGTTAGTTTTCATCATCACCATCACCTTCACCTGAACACACAGATGTCGTCAAGAACGGGAGATTATGCGGGACCACTTCCAACTTCCTTAGACCTTCTTTTTTTTCTCCAAGTTTCAGGTATTTATTAATCAGTGTAAATCCCAACACCACACACCAACATGATTTCGTGCATTTAGAATGAAGTACCTCCTGGTTAAGTGGGAAATTGTGTGGATTGCTTCTGTACAACCTTCATTAAGCAGCTTTATAGTGAAAAATTTCATTTGGAAATTTTTTTCTTCAGTTTGTTGCAATCTACATTCACTGAGTAGAACTTGTATTCATCATTGGGACCAGTTTGTTCCAGGGTTCTGGGTTATGGTTAAAAAATATATATATATATTTATTTATGCATACAAGAACTGGGGTGTAGGCCAGAGGTGCGGGGCAGGGGTGGTGAGAGGATTCAGCAGAGACAGAGTGGGGAGCAGAACAGGCGGATCTACTGAGATCCACTGCTGAGGGGAGCAGCTGGTGAGACAGGAGAGGTCTGCTGTACCATGTGGGTCAGCTCCCTGGCAGGGGATTGAACTCAGGCCGCAGTGGCTGGTGATAGCTTAATAGCACTGAGACTCTCACCCCTGTGCCACCAGGGAGGCCCATTCTGGGTTATTCTTTCTGTTCCAACTGACATCTGGATTGCACAAAGTCAGACACATGATATGCAGTGCTGTCCCAGCACCTCCTCCCCCAATAAACACAGACAGGGGATCAAGGGAGGATGCTTCTTGGCCCAAATGAGGATATGGCAGAGCATGGTTGCAGGAGAGACCTTGGGCCAGGAAGGAGAGAACAAACTTCCAAGGCCCTGGATGAAATCTCTGCACCTAGGCTTCTTAGACCTTATCCTTTCCCCCTTCAGCTCCTACCACACTGTCTACCACACCATTCATTTGACCCTTGCTGCTTTGTTTTGCTTACTTATTATTCATTTGTCCTTTATTTATCCATAAACATTTAGTCAGCACTTACTAATGATGGGGCCATTCTAGACTGTGAAGGTCTTTGCGGTTGGGGGCCTGCATGGTGCTCTCTTGCCTGCACTCTGTGTAGAAGGGAGATGGTGCTCCGTTTCCATCCTTCCTCAGGGACTCAGCAGCTCAGTGGTGAGGCTGAAGCCCCTTCAGCTGCCATTGCTGTGTGCTGGCTTAACTCTGCCTCTCTCACCTAGCTCTTGGAGCCAGGGCTGAGCAAGGGTATGGCAGGTTAGCCCAATGTAAGGATAGGTTCTCAGGGAAGCTCATGACCCTAGTTCTTGTCCTCCTATTCCAGCCCTTGACCTCAGAAAGTGGACACAACCCTCCCTCTAGCATGCAACTCTGGGGTGTGGAGAATGAAGATTACACTGGAATCTGGAGTTCTGTATTCTCATTGCAGCTTTGCTACCTGACTTTCTGCAACCTAACTTTCCTCCCTGGGCCTCGTTTTCCCTCCCTGCTGGGCCAGAAGATCTCCATGACCCACTCCAGCTTTACTGTGAAAGCCTATCACTTCACCCCAACTCCTTCCCCAGTTCAGAGAACCCAGACATCCAGCTGCCCCACCCCAGCTCTGGGTAAACAGGAAGCTGGGTGAGGGGAGCAAGAGTCTGCGGAAAGTCCCTGCCAGGTGTGTGTCTATGGGGAGGGGGTGGCCCCACCCCTGAGATATGAAAGCCCCCCTGCCCCCGGCCTTGGCTCAGTCTTAATGGGGGCACTGGGGATGGAGGGCGGGAGTAGGAGGCCCCAAGGGAAGGGCTGCCACCTGCTGGCTGTGGCAGGAGCCACTTCCCTGGTCACCCTGCTGCTGGCTGTGCCTATTACTGTCCTGGCTGTGCTGGTCTTGCTGCCCCAGGAGCAGAGAGGACTGGTAAGTGGCTGCAGCAAGTGCCCCAGGGGGTTGTAACTGCTGAGGCTCACTTACCTCTGGCTCTGCCTGGGGCCTCTTGCCTTTCTGCTGACTTGGCCAGCCCTGGCAGGATGTCCTGTTTGTGTCTGCCGATTCTTTTTCCGGGTCCCTGTTGATGCTATTGTGTCCCGATAGCTCCAAGTTCCTTCCTGGTTTTCTGTCTCTGCTCCCCTTCCCAAGCATACTCAGGCTTCTGTCTCTCTGCCCAGGTACCTATGTCTTGCTTGCTCTGCCCTCCTGGGAGATGTGTGTTGGGCTTGGGGTGGTGGGAGAGAAACCCCAGAGAAAACCCAGAGCTTGGGTCTATGTTGGGTGGGTTGGGGCTGGCATCGCTAAGGCTGAACTTTGGGCACTGTAACCCCACCCACCCAGGTAACAGGGACAGCTGACCCTCTGAGAGCAGAAGCCCAGCATCAGAAGGGTAAGAGGAGGCCACCCCCAAAAAACCCAACCCTGCTGCAACCCCTTAGGGACTCTGGATCCCATCCATCTGCATCCCCAGATGTTCCCTTCCTCTAGGAATCCAGGTGCCCCGTTTCTGGGCCCTGGTGCCCTGTCCTCCCAGGAGGGGTCATGCATGGGTGGTCGCTTGCTCCCTACAGTGAGCTCTTCGCCCCACCCAAGAGCCCAGGAGCTGCCAGAGGAGGAGGCAGAACCAGATCACAGCTCCATCCTCCCAGCTGCCCACCTCATAGGTAAGGGTCCGACAGAGCTGAAGGGTGCCGGTTCGCTCGCCGGCCCTCAGGTAGAGTCCCTTTGCTGAGTTTCTGCATGCTTGGTTTCCCATGCGCTTCATCACCTCTACCCCCTAAAGCGCCCACCCTTCTGCTCATCTGGCTTCCAGTTGGCCACCCCAGACAAGCAAAATCCCGGATCCCCAGAGCAGCGCGTTCCGCACCCACACCCAGGAGTCTTGGTCTCCAGCTCCGACTCCCTCTCCCGGCTCGGCTCCCGCAGGGGTTAAAAGCCTCTCGCTCCCGCTCGGGCCCACCCTTCCAGAATCCCGGTCTGGACAGCTCCTCTCAGGATCGCATTCCCGAGAACCCAAAGGCCCCCGTTTCTCCGCAGGCGCTTGGACCTCGGGGCAGGGGCTTGGCTGGGAGGCGAAGAAAGAAGAGGCGTTTCTGCGCAGCGGGACGCAGTTCTCGGCCGCCGAGGGGCTGGCCCTCCCGCAGGACGGCCTCTATTACCTCTACTGTCACGTCGGCTACCGCGGCCGCGCGCCCCCTGCCGGAGGGGCCCCCCTGGACAGCTCCGTCACGCTGCGCAGTCGGCTGTACCGGGCGGGGGGCGCCTACGGGCGGGGGGCTCCAGAGCTGCTGTTCGAGGGCGCCGAGAGCGTCACCTCGGTGTTGGACCCCGCTAGGAGACACGAGTTCGGGTCCCTCTGGTACACGAGCGTGGGGGTCGGCGGCCTGGTGCAGCTCCGCAAGGGCGAGAGGGTGTACGTCAACATCAGTCACCCCAACATGGTGGACTACAGGAGAGGGAAGACCTTTTTTGGGGCGGTGATGGTGGGATGAGGGCACCCGGGGTCGTGGGAAAGGCAGGCATGGTGGGAGTGGGTGAATCAGCCCAGATATTGGGGACCCTGACACCAGAGACTCCCCATGGTGGGGGAGATGTAGGAGACTGGAGACTGATTTTGAGCCTGATGATAATAAAAAATATATGGCTTTAATGCTGTGAGTACAGATTAACATCTTCATTCAGCGTGGGTGGGCAATGGTTGGTTAAATATTCTGTTTTTCTTTTCTTTTTTTTTTTTTTTGGTTACTTGAGACAATTCATAACACTGTATAATCCCTGCTCGCTGGAATGAGGTTCTGGAGGTCTACCCCCTCCCTGCCTCTGAACAGCCTTACCCCAAGCCTTAGCCAGGCTGGAGTATAGCAGGAAGGGGGTCTCAAACCCCAAAGCCTCTCCAAGCATCCTCATTCTCAGAGCCACATGGTCTGGCTCAGACTTCACATTACACTTTTCCCTTGGGTCCCTCCCAACAGAGAGAAGGGTCTTTCTGGGGGAAGGCAAGCACCACCCAGCTGCAGAGTAGACCCCAATATGCTAAGCAATGAGGCACTGAGCGTCTCAGCAGTTCTCCCATGCTGCTTAACTGAAGGCCCTTTTAGCCCCACCACCACCCCACCACCCCACATCAACTCTTCTGCTCCCAGAAGAGAAGCACAGTTCATGGGGTGTGAGGGGAGGAGGTGGAGGAGAGACTTGGGAAAGTGACCGGCAGAGAGAGATAAGGTGGGGACACCAGGGTGAACCTGGGGAGAAGGAAAAACTGATGCCACACCTCCCTGGTGGTACAAGGGGTTGTCTTGGCACTATCAAGCTCTCACCAGCCATTGCAACATAAGTTCAATTCCCGGGCAGGTTGCTGACCCACATGGCGCGGCAGACCTCTCCTATCTCTCCCACTGCTCCCCTCAGCAGTGTATTTCAGTCACTTTGCTTGTTCTGCTCCCCACTCTGTCTCTGGTGAATCCTCTCACCCCCCCCTGCTCCTCTGGCCTGCACCCCAATTCTTGTATGCATAAATAAATAAAAATAATCTAAAAAAAAAGAAAAAAGAAAAACCGATGCCACCTGGCTCTGCCACAGTGGGCTGCAAAGTCCTCACCCCTTTTTCACACTTCAGGTCTCCTTCCTAGGGGCCTTGAGGTAAGTAACAGCATCCCCTCACCCCATGAGGGCTGGAGGATTCAGAGGAGAATTCAAGGTCTTACCTATCTAGGTCACCCTAGTGGGTGGATCACCCCACTCTTGCGGCATGCCACGTGGTTTTTCCCCTTCCTGGCAATCCAGGAAGGAAATCTCCTTTCAGTGGGGGCTGCATTCTCTGGGTGGCCATTCCTGACTCCATATTTTTCTGTCCAAAAGAACCAATCTGGGAGGAGGAGACACTTTTCTCTTTTCAGTTCATCCGACTCACATTCCTTCTCTCATCATTTGCCAAAAAAGAAAAAAAAAAGATCAGTAAGAACCTGTGGGGAAAAAAATCACCCTTATCTTAGTTCTGTTCTTTAAAATTCCTTCTGTGTCTTCCTTCCCACTGAGAGATGGGAAGGACTGGGGGGTGAATAAAGAGAAACAGGCAGGGCTCGCTGAGTGCCCACCACGCCAAGCCCAAGCGCTGTGCTTGGTGCTAAGACCGAGATCCGGTCTGCGGGTCCTCAGCCCCACATGCGGTGGGCGTTCCCTTCTCCATTGACAGATGAGGTTCGGAGACTGAGGCTGCAGGGTGGGCAGTGCTGGACATCCCCTCTCCGGATGGAGCCAGGTGAAGCCCTGATTTCTGCACGTCTGGAAGTCCCTTGGCTGTGATTCAGGTGCCCGAGAATGCGCCCCTCCCCACTCTCAGGCCGCAACAGCCGGAAATCTCACCTGAGCACCTGAGCTACAGGACTTCCCCGGCTGGGATTGGAATTCCCAGAGTTGGAAATTCCCATGCCCTCAGGGAGAGGTAATTAGGTTCAGGCTCCAGTCTTCTGGGGGATGGGCACATTCGACCTGGCTTTGTTTTCTGTGGGATCTCCTGAGCCCCAGTAGTCCAAGGAGTGGGGACCAGGTCAAGGGATCTTAAGTGAAGCCCTTGAGGAGAAAGGACTTCAGGGAGCAGCCTCCCACCCCCAAGGAGGGGCAGATGCAGAATCAATTCCAAGAAAGACCATGTTTCTTTTCTAAGCACACTTTATTTCTCGCCACTGACCAGTAGGGCGGTTACAGGCACGACTCCCCTGGGGAGCACAGGTTTAGCGATATAGCGACAACTGGTCACCAAATCAACATTATTTAGAGAACTTGATCTGATAAATATTTTTAAAAACATAAGCAACAGGAGGCACAGAGGCCAGGAGGCCAGTTGGGAACAGTCCACAGTTCAGCTCCGTTTTCACAGAAAACATGTTCCGAGTTAAGGCAGACCCTATGTTGGGCCTCCCAAGACGCTCCAACCTCCGGAATAAATACATTCATCAGTAAATAAATAAATAATAAATAAATAATAAATAATCGCCAGTGCAAACATAAATATAGGGAGAAGGGCACCGTGGGGGAGGGGTTGTCCATTTCAGGGGGGAGTCTGGAAACATTTGAAGAAAGGGGGCCCTGTGGTCCATGCATGTCAAGTTGGAGATCTTCTTGAAGGATGTTCTGAAGTGCTCTGATCAGTCCCAAAGATGGCCTGGCCCACAACTTCCAGGTGTCCCAGGCTGCATTGAGCTGAGGCCCTTGGTGAATTCTAGAAGCCCCAGTTTTAATTCTTGGTGGTGGCCAGGGCCCTGTTGTCCAGCCCTGAATCCTGGGTTACTAAGTGTTGTTACTTAAAGTTCTAGCCTGGGGCCTGGCCCTGCATCCCTAATTCCCACTCTAGGCCAGAAGGGGATGAGGGGGTGTGAAGGAGTGGATGGATAATGAAGGGATGGAGGTGGGCGAGGATGGATGTCCCGCCCCCTCATAGGGCGATGATCCCAAAGTAGACCTGTCCAGACTGGGCAAAGTCGAGATACTTGGGCAGATTGATATTAGCACTGAGTCGGTCCCCCTTCTCCAGTTGGAAGACCCCTCCCAAGTAGATGGGCTCATACCAGGGCCTGGCCTCTGCCCCCTCGGGGGTCTCCCTCTGGCAAGGGCTTTTGATGGCAGAGAGGAGGTCGACCGCATCCTCGTAGGAGACAGCAGTGCGTTGGATTTTGTGGGTGAGGAGCACGAGGTTGGAAGGGCAGCCTTGGCCCTTGAAGAGAACCTGGGAGTAGATGAGGTATAGCCCGTCCGAAGGGACCACCAGCTGGTTGTTTGTCAGCTCAACTCCGTTGGCCAGGAGGGCGTTGGCGACCTGACTCAGCCATTGGAGCTGCCCCTCAGCTTGGGGGTTTGCTGGAGGGAGGGAGAAAGGGAGGGAACCGTGAGTCAGTCTGACCTTGTCAGTTCCACTCTCCACATCCTGGCCCTCAAGTTCTGCTCACCCCCACATCCGGTTCCTGTCCCCTCTGTCTGTCTTCCCACATCCCATCTGGCCTTGAGGCTCTGAGTATTCCTCTCAGGCCTGTGCTGTTCCTCCACCCTCTCCCTCAACTCAGCGAGTCCTCATGTTATCTCCATGAGGTCTGTCTCCCCTCAGTCCGGTCAGCACCCCAAATCCTCTCCCTCCCTGTCCCATCTGCTTCTTCATCCTCAGAATGCTTACCTACAACATGGGCCACAGGCTTGTCACCTGGGGTTCGAGAAGATGATCCTGATGAGGAAAGAGAAAAGCAAAAGGTAAATCCTTAAGTTTCCCAGAGAATAACTTTCCATTTTGACCTCCATTCTTCCCCCACCCCCCGAAACAAAATTTTAAATTTCTCCCACTACCTCCAATCCCAGGATTGATCCATCCAAACCCAGAGTTAAGCGAGAGAGAGGGAGGTTTTGGAGGTACTTACTGAGTGTCTGGGCCAGAGTGTTGAGCAGCGGCAGGGTATTTGGGTGCTGCTGGGAAGAAGAAGGAGAATTAGCATCTGAGCCCCACAGGGCTGCTTATCTAATTTGCACTCTGTCCTGATGTGTCTAGTTTTCTTTCTCCATTTATCCCTGCCTTCATCCACCCAGTCATGTGGTCAACAACTTTCACTGAGTTCCTTCCTGCCTCCTGCCAAATGCCCGATCATCATCTTTCCTTCTCCTCCCTCACCTCTCTCCTTATCTCTTTCTTACCTCCCACACCTCTTTCTGTCTCAACATCTTTATTCAGATCACTTGTTTTCCCCCATCTCTCTGCCCACACACCACACCTCTCTGCAGAATCTCTCTTTGTGTGTGTATATCTGCTTGCTCATTCATTCATTTAACAAACATGAGCAGACTTCTTCCACGTGCCAGGCACCTTTCTTTTTCGTCCCCCCTCTTTCTTCACATGTCTTTCTGCCTCCCCATCTTTCTCCACTATTTTCCTCCCTACCCTTCCTCACCAGCACAACTCTATCCCCAACCTTTCCCCCCATTTCTCTGTGTGGAAGAATGAGCCAAGGCTGGTGAGGCACTCACCTCTTCCCCCTGGGGACCGATCACCCCGAAGTGCAGCAGGCAAAAGAGTGTAGTGGCTCCTGCTATGAGGAGAAAGAAGAGGCTGATGCACCAACACCTTCTGGAGCCCTGGGGGCTTCCTGCCTTCTTGGAGAGCTCCTCCTCAGCCAGCTCCACATCCCGGATCATGCTTTCGGTGCTCATGGCGTTCTTTCCAGAGGGGTTCAAGTCCAACTGGGAGCTGATGAAACCCTGGGGCAGTGTGTGGTAGCAGGAGAGAATTGCCTGGCTGCTTGTCTAGGGGTGTGTTGCCTGAGAGATTATTTTCAGGTGGGTCTGGAGTTGCTTCTCTTTCTCCTGGCTGGTCCCCTGGTGTCCTCGCTGAGGGAGCTTCTGCTGGCTGGGCTGCAAACAGCTGTATTTATACGCCTGTGGGGTAAGAGGAGGGCGGGGAAAGGCTCTCATTCAACCAGCGGAAAACTTCCTTGGTGGAGAAACCCATGAGCTCATCTGGAGGAAGCGGTAGTGGGCTCTACACCTTCTGTCTCAGTTTCTTCTCCATCACGGGGCCAGGGGTTTGGAAAGTTGGGGACACCCAGGCATCAAGGATACTTCTCACCCTGCCCATTCAGATTCTGAGGGGGGGCTTGCTGGGCCAGTTACTGCTGTGTACTTAGGACCCTGGAGACTGAACCCCAGATCCCCTCTGTCCCCCAGTTCCCATTGTCTCCATTATTGGGGGCAAATACATGATTTGTTTCCTTCTTATTTCCATACAGGACTCAAGTAGGGGGAGAACAGGAAATGGGAGGGACTTCAGAAACATGAGTCCTTGGTGGGGAGAAAACTTGTGGGGGAAAACTGTCCTGAGTTCTGAGACATGTGTTGGGATCTCCAGGGTCAAGGGCCTGGGGGGAAGGAGAACTGGGGACACGAATGGGGCCTCTGTAAGGGCTGGGTGGGGATAGTTGGGGCAGGATTGGGACAGCCCCAGAGGGACTGAAAGCAACACTGGGAATTCACACCCTCACCAGGGCAGGCCTTCTTCTTTCATTCTGACCAGGGCTCAATGCTAATTCCAGTCTTGGCTCCCAAGAGAACCCAAAACCTGAATTTTGCAGGAAGCACCCACTCCTCAGAGCCCCTGTGTGTGGTCATGTATCCTCAACAAACTTCTGTTCCCTCCAAATTGCCAGAGACACCTCTAGCCCTCAGAACCTCCGTGTGTGACCACGTCACCCCAAAGCTCCCTACATCCCCCAGGCACTAGCCCTAGGTGCTATCCCACTCCTCAGGGATCTTGTCTTCCAAAGGGTCCCCATAATCTACCCACAAAGCCTTGCCCCCGGGTCACTCACGTTTCCCAGGAGCCCCTTATGCCCCTTGAACAAGCTATCCCCTCCTTTCCTTAGAGTACTGGAAAACTCTTCCCTCCCAGACAGACACAGGCAGACAGCATTTCAGAGAAAAGAGGTTTATTGGACTTCATAGAGGGTGAGATGACTTCTTGGGGGTTGAGGGGGTGACTAGCAATGGTTGGCTCCTAAGAGCCTTTTGCTTTCTTTAGTGCCCCCCATCCCACTCCCCCAGCCCCACTTTTTTGCTCTCTCCCTAGGTCATCCTTGTGCCAATGGCCTCTCACTCTTCATTTTGGGCATACACTTCTCTCCCTCTTCTGATGTCCCTCTATTATCCCTTCTCTCCATAAATAAATAATTTAATAGTTTCCCTTCATAAATAATCCCCCCTTCCTGCCTCCAGTCATCCACCAAGCTCCCGCGTGTGTTCCCTCTCCATGGTGAGGGTCAGGACTGCAGGACAGATGAAGAACTCTGGCAGGAATTTTTTAGGCAGGCTTGAAACCCTCAGCTGAGCATCCGGGCTGCTTCAGGGAGGTGTGGTTCCCTGGGGCACCTAGAATTCCTTCTTTGGAAACTCCAGGTGATGTGAGCAGGGAAGACTTGAGACTGTTGGAAAGGTCAAAGGAGAGATGTGGTGACCTTTGAAATGGTCAGAATGGAGGCAAAATGGGGAGAAGGTCCTGAAACCAATTTTTTTCTTTCTGGATTTTTCTACAAAGCAAAGGCTCCAAAGAAGACACTGCTGGGACTGAGGAGGAGGTGACAGATACCATCTGTGTGAGTGGAGAGCTGGTCTCCCTGTGTGAGCAGGAACACGGCCCCCTGGTACACTGAGCGCACCCACGGACTCTGTGGCCCTGGAACCACTGACTTCTGAGCACTGAGGAGAGGCACGTGGGAGGGGTACTGGGAGGAGAAGAGCTGGACTTCGTGGGCCAGGTAGAGAGGGGTGGCCCCATGTTGGCCTTCTCCGGAAAAGACCACCTGGGAGTAGACGAAGTAGAGACCGCTGGTGGGAACCAGGAGAGAATTGTTGCTCAAAGAGAAGCCATGACGGAGGAAGGCACGGTCTGTGTTTGCTTGCCAGCGCAGAGAATTCTGGGTGCTGGGGTCTCCTAGGAAGAGCCACAGCGGGTGGGGTGGTCAGGACCTTGGGGTCAGAGGGCTCAACCCTAAGAAAGCAGGTGGTGGACTGAGTTCCTATGGGATTACTGGGAGGACAGATGGGAGTGGGCTGCCTCTGCTTTTGGGGGGTAGGAGAAGTTGGACAAAAGGTGAAGTAGGTGCTTGGATCCCTGAAGGAGGGGAGGGAGGAAAGTTGGGGGCTACATGTCTGAGGAGGAAGATAAATGTTTACCAACAAGGTGGGCAGCAGGTTTGTGGGTGTCTTGGATGAAGTGCTTCTGGGGGTGCTGGTGGGCAGTCCAGGCAGCTGAGGGTGAGAGGCCAACATCAGGGAGGCCCTAGGGGAGAACAGAGTGGAGAACCTTGTGAGCTCAGCCCTAGAGCTGGGTCTCGGTTTGGCTGGGCCATACCCCAACCCCCATTCTTCTGCTGCCTCACCTGGGCCTCAGGTGGCAGGGCCAGCAGCAGCCCCAGAAAGAGCAGGGGGGTGCTGCTGCACACCCTCAGGAAGTAGAGACATCCAGGTGGTGTCATGGGGAGAACCTGCAGGGGAAGAGACCGTGAGTGGGGCGGGGTGCGATGCGGAAGACATCCTCCTGCCAGTGGAGACAGCTACCCGAGAGACAGCGACAGGCACGGGACAAGATGCAGTCAGGGAAACCCCAAGGTGAGCCGGGGGAAGACAGAAAGAAACAGATGGGGAGGGAACAGAGGCCGCATGGCAGAAACAGAGAATGTGTGACCGAGACAGAGAGAAGGAGACTGACAGTTGAGAGCGCCAGGGAGGGAACAAACCAAAACCAAACCCATTCAGGCCCAGGCAGAAGGTGCAGGAGTGGGGGGCGCAGGCACAGGCGCTGCCTGCCCCGGGAAAGGAGTCTGCAGCTCACTGCCCAAGCAGATAGGGTAAGAGTCTTACCTGCTGTGCGTGGGCCCCTGGGCCTGGTCGCCTGGGTCCCTTTATAGAGGAAGCGGCAGCGGCAGGCAGCGGGCGGGTTCTAGGCCAGGCTGGGGCCCGGGGAAGCCCCCAGGGCTTAGAAGATGCTGCTGTTTCAGTCGAAGGCAGGAAAGGCTGAGGCCTAGGAGAGAACCGCAGGCTGGGGGCTCAGACAACTGAGTTCTGGGAAAGGGAGTAGGGTCAGGGGAACCACGGGCTGGGAGGTCCCGGGAGTGGGGTCAGGCTTAGGTGTTCCAAGGAAGGGACAGTCAATTCGGGGAGGAGAAAGGAGAGCAGCTGGGCTGTGGGCTGTGGGCTGGAGTCCCAGTTCCCTGAAGAACAATTATATATAACATCTCTGCACTCTTGGCTGATCACTGTCTTCTCTCTGTACCCATTTCCTGCCCTTGTATGCACGTCCTTGTCCCAAATGGCTCAAGTCACGCTATCCCAGTATCTGTTCCTTCCAGCTTGTCTGGCAGGTTTTTTATCAAGAAGTTCCATTATATATAATTTATACCCCCTTGCTTTAGGTCTGCTATCCTGGTAAAAATATTTATGGAGCCCCTTTTTGCTCTGAAATTGGCCTGGTTTGCTAGGTAAATGTTATGGTCCCCCTACCCAGGGATGAGGCCATGCACTTCTGTATGAGGAGGTCTCTCCTCACTTCCAAAGGATGTCCTCCACCTCGCCTCAACCTTTAGTGAACCCCAGTTTCTGGAACACTGGCTTCCCTCTTGGTCCCTGTATATACCCACCCTGCAAAACACACTCCAGGAACAGGGCAGACAACTTCCAAGGTTCTCTATGTGGGAAACTTCAGAATTCCACACAGGGAGACCACCAAGGTGGGGGGCATCCTCTTTTGAAACTGCATTGGTAGAGCCACTATGCCGTTGAATATCATTGAGGAGCCCCCTCCTCTTGAAGTGATGTGTGACTTTGCAATGGTGAGGTGCACATCTCTGTGGAACCACACAGCCGCCACTCAGTTCAACATACTTCTTGGTGCCCAGAAGGTTTTCCTGTGCCCCTTCCAGCTGATACCCTCCAAAGATAAACAACTACTTCTGACCTTGAGCACCACAGTTTTTCCTGTAAATGAAATCACACGGACTCTGCTTGTTTATGTTGCTTCTTTCACTCAGCATTGTGTTTGTGAGCCAGGTGCTTGCCTGTATCAGGGGTGTTTTTCTTCAATCATGATATAATATTCTATTGTGTAAATCTATTATCATTTATTCGTTCTGCTGTTGATGTGCATTTGGTTTGTTTCTGGTTATTGACTAACATGAACTTTTTTTTTTTTTTAAAGATTTATTTATTTATACAAGCACTGGGTACAGTCAGAAGCGCGGGAGGGTGAGAGAATTCACCAGAGCCAGAGTGGGGAACAGAACAGGCAGAGTGACAAAACACACTGCTGAGGGGAGCAGTGGGCGCGGCAGGAGAGGTCTGTCACGCCATGAGGGACCCTCGCCGGTGGGTGGCTGGTGATCGAACTGGCGCTGAAGAGCCTGGGGGCAGCTTCGCAGCCCAGCGCTCAACCGCTGAGCCACCAGGGGAGGCCCGTAAGTTGCAGGTGTTAAAAAAGCAAGGTTTTGAAAGATGATTTATTCATGCTTCTTAAGATTGAGGAAATACAAATTGACCACTTCAAATATTATTATTACTCTTACTGATGTTATGCTTTCATTTGGAGGGTTTTGGAGAGGCTGGTGGGGGAAGTTAAATCCTTTCCCTTTGGGCCTCCCTGGTGGCACAGGGGGTTGAGCGAAGTGCTGTGAAGCTGTCCGTAGCCTCTGCAGCGTGGGTTCGATCCCTAGCCTGCCAGGGAGATGCCCATATGATGCAGCAGACCTCTCCTGTCTTGCCCGCTGCTCCCCTCAGCAGCGTTTTCCATCAGTCTGCCTGTTCTGCTCCCCACTCTGTCTCTGGTGAGTC